AAGATAAATAGAATATTTACCATTAGAAAAAGAAATCCATGGCACGTAAACAATTATGAACATTATGAGTCTCATAGAATCTCTCCCCTAAATGTAAATACCAAAAGAAAATTAAATTAAAAATACATAAACCAACATTAGTACGAAAATAATTTTAATTTCAAGGGTAAACTTGGAAATGAAAGAGACGGCAACGTGCATGTTGTGGAAAGGGTGGCGCACTGGCGCGTAGTAAAGGAGTCCAGCAGGCGCCTGTTTCGGGAGAGAAAAATCAAATTCATATTCACGTGCCTGCTCTTGGGCATTTTTGACAGGCCACAGCCACAGACAAATATTTTTTTCTCTATTTTGTATTTTTCCCCATTTTTATTGGTCAAGAAAGGCATTTTTTTTTTTATATATACAATATAAATTTTTTAAAACGGAAACTGAAAAAATATAATTAATTCTGAACAAATCATAAACTTCCAATCACCGCCCAATCCAATCCAAGCTCGACTGAACGAGATTTCGTGGCTATTTGGAATTGTAATTTTAAACAAAACGATTGGAGATTTTATTTACGAAAAAAAAATGTAGTATAATTTAGAGTATATTAAATTATATTATATTAATTATTTCATAAAAATAGTGGTTCAATATTAGGAATTTTTTTATTTAATCATTTATATTTTATAATTTAATATAATTTAAATTATAAAATAAAATTTTTTTATTTAACTTAATGAATAAAAATATTTAAATTTATTATTATTATTATTCATTAAATTAAATAAAACTATTCACATAATTAAAAACACTTTGCATAATTAAAATAAAAAAATATTTTATAAGATAGATTATATATTAAAAATATAATTTACTCTATAAATTTATTAAAATATCTTAAATAAAATTATTTTTTTATTATTTAAAAAAAAATGATTTTAATATATTTATAAAACAGACTGCGTTTTTAATTTGCAATGAAGATTGTATTACATCAATTTCTAATTAAAAACACTATCTTCCGAAACGTTTTCTTTTTAACTAATGAACACGAACAAGGTCGTGGCAAAGTGACTTCATGAGACTAAGAATGAATACAGCTTCGGATCACCTCAACATTTGATGACATTAGAAAAAACCAAGATAAAGTTCGCTCAAAAGTGCATTGGCATGTAAATCATTAACCATTTCACATCAACCACAGTCATTACTACATGCCATCCACCCAAGCTTAGAGAGTTCAATAAAGTTGCAATTGCTTAATGGAATAAAACAAAAAATTTCAACTTCATGGCTCTACAGCATTCACTTCTTGCCACTCACCATCTACTCCTTCCTTCCACAATGTTACATTGTTATTTCCATCAGCCACTGACAACAGATTTCCAGTAAGTGACCATGAGACCCTCCAAACCGGGGTCTTGAAATCCTTCAAAGCCTTCCCCTTCCATTGCTCCCCTTCTCTGGCACAGGTCCATATAACAACTGTTCCATCCTGAGAAGCACTTGCAACTGTGGATTTTGGAAGCCCCAAGTTAGGTGCCCATGCAACATCTCTCACCCAATCAGTGTGCATCTGAAGGGCAGGGAAGCAGTCCATCTTCCATGTTCCGTTGTACAGCTTCCATACTTTCACCGTATTATCACAACCACCAGAAGCCAGCTTCTGAACAGGGTCCAGGAGACCAGATCCAACTAAAGCACCAGGTGCTGTTGATGGTGCCCAAGAAACTGATGTTACCCCAACTGGGTGCGCTTGGTCTATCCTAGTAGTGTCCCAACCACCATCAGCCCTTGCAGTAAAAACTGAGATATTCCCATCAGAAGATCCACAAGCCAAGCAGAGGCCAAGTTCATGAGGGGCCCATGCAATGGAGTTAACAGATGACTTATGATCATTGAACACATGAGCCTGTGCCCAATCATTTTGATTGCCCTCCTTCCAGATTATCACTTGGCCATCATAAGAACAGGAAGCAAGGATTGATCCAAACTTTGGGTGCGCCCAAGCAACCTCCCAAACAGGTCCTTTATGCCCATGTAAAGTAGCAAGTTGCTGTGAACCAGAGTTGCTTACACCAATGATCTTAATGGTGGTATCAGACAAAGCTGTTGCCAACCTCTTCCCATAATAATCCATGGCTACATCATGGACTGTGTCCTCATGACCCATCTCAATCTTCAATGGAGGCATTATTCCCACTCTTCCTTCCCACTACAGCTCCTTATATCTTGAAACTGCTATCGTGTTCCATACAATCAACATCATGATTAACCAAATCAGACATTCCACCTTCCCATGCAATTAGCTAAATAACTTTCCAAAACAACTAATTCCACCGCAAGCCATCATTTCTTTCAAGGAACACTTAAAATTTTCCACACAATCCAATCCACTATATGATTTACTTAATAGAGAAATTTTTTTTTTTTTTTTTAAAAAAAAGCCTGATACATTAACATTATTAATCTACAAGGCCCTAGGATGGCAAAGAAAAGAACAAACAACCCAGCAAGGCGATTATCTCCACAGATCAAATACAAAATGAACAAAAATTCATGCGATTCAAAGATTACAGTGAAAAACGAGAATGAATTGCTTGAGAAGTTGAGATTGAACAAAAATCTTGTAACCGTTCCAACAGGATGGATTACGGATTGACTTTCACTGAAAAGATCATGAAAATCATACGAGATAGCAAACAGATCTGGAAAAATAATCCATTTAGAAACTAAGGAATCAAACTGCTATGAATAGGAAAATACGTGCGATTGGAAGCAAAAATCATCAGAACAAAGTGTTGTAGTATACCTGAGGCTGGGGAAGATGGAACGGAATCGGTAATCAGCTCGAGAAATCCTCTCCGAGACTGGATTTTGCTGTTCGTGACAAGAATCATCAATCCCTTTGTTCTAACTGTTGATCCATCTATTAATCCCGGGATCTACTTGGCTATCCGTTTGGACATTTGAATTACAATAACCGCCGCATGGGTCAGAATAAGATAACCCTGGCTTGGCCTCCCAAGCCGAAAGTTTTTAAAATTTCCCCAACTTTTCCTCCTAAAATTGTTGTATTAAAATAAATTGTCAAAAAAATTATTGACATAATTTATCACTTTAAAATTTTATTTTTAAGAAATTAACTTATACTTAATAGTTGTTATTAAATTTTATTAAATTATTATTTTTAAAATTTAATAAAATAATAATAATCTTTAAATTTAAATTAATTTTTTAAAAATAAAAATTTAGATTAACAAATTACGTTAACATATTTTTTGAATGATAATTTATTTTAACACAACAATTTTAGGAAGAGAATTCGCACTTTTTGCCTTCTTTCTTTGGTAAATTAAGTTTTAATATTTTTTTAATTAAATGACAGACGTCAATGACTTAAATAACTCAATAGTTATTTTTTTCCGTTAAAAGTAAGAGATATTGAGTTCAAGTTGCATGGCATGCGAATGAGATCATGAATTCGAGTTACATGACCTACGAATGAGATAGAATAAGAGATGAGACATGATTGCCTCTAATTATATAATTAAGATAAAAATAAAATAAATTTAAATGACAGGGATATCAAGCATGGTTGTAAACCACGCGAATAAATTGCTTTTAATCTCAAGCATGGTTATAGTCATTGATTGTAAATCTTATGAACAAAATATCCTTGATTGCAGTGTGTGTATATATCTCTTTAAATATAAGAACAACACTCGTATCATATTATAACTTCTATCTCTGTATCCCACTCTGTAACAAAATTCATTACAAAATTTTATACAATGGATGCTCATGATATAGTTTATCCATTGGGTGTTGCCGTCTTTTTCATCGTGGTGATAGGCTCGGCATTGTGCGTGAAACTTAAATGCTGCTGCGGAGAAAGGGAAGAGAAGGAAGGGGAAGGGATAGAGATGGGTAGTTGATTACCACCTCGGTTGAACATAAACGACCATGTTGAATAATCTGTTACCTTTGTAACATAGTTTTATTGAATAAATAGGATTTGAAGAAAGACATTATATGTTTTCCTCCTCCTCCTCCTCCTCCTCCACCTGCTGTTGTTGTTAACAACAAAAGATAAAGTTCTATTGCAACAGAGTAACAATAGTACTCACAAGCACAGCCCTCATAAGAAGGAGAGTCTCATGAAAAAAATAAAAATATAAAACCAACAACAACAACTTACTAAAACATGCAAAGCAAATGAACTAGGCCTTCGAACCAATGGTTCATCCTCAGATCTTAGTACTTGATTTTAGTTGGTCAAGAATTCTACTCTCACCAATTATTTGAAAAAATCCCCCATTTCCCCATAATTCCCCGATGTTCAAAAAAAAAAAAGAAAAATGCAAAGCAAATTAAAGCCAAAAATAGTATTATGCAAATGGGTGTATATTCTGAATAAGATTCATTTTTTCATTCTTGTTATGAAAATGACTAGAAACTCTAATCTCATCAATCATTTTTAGTTCAAAAATTTCTGCAACTGTATCTAAACCTCAATCCATGGAACAATTTGGAAAGGAAAAAGAAGGAAAAGGGAGGTGGTGCAAAACTCAGAATTTTCGTCGTAAGGCTGTGTCTAGTCTTTTCATTTTCACAAAATGATCTCATCCTGGACACTAACGTTAAGGGTCTTATTTGGAAGAACAATGCTGTTGATCACCACAACTTCATCTTCCACTGTTACAGCCTCTCCTGCATTAAGGTAAGTCCAGAAAAAAACAAAAAAAATTATTCTTCTCAAGTGAATTGGAGTTTCTTGCATTAAGCATAAATTATACAAGATGGAAACCAGGAACTCAGAAGGAGAAGTACCGAGTATGGTAATTCCAAGCTTTGCATTGTAGTCTCCATTGGCCTGAATATGGTGATAAGAATATTAGCCGGACATAATAAATGTTAGCTAAAATCCTTATGCTATGCAAAGTTTAGGTCAGTCTTTAGGTTTATTGTGGCAGATAAAAGAGTGTCCAAGGTAGACAAGTGTTAACATATGTTTTATTGTTTTCCATCAATGTCTTTTCTCTTTGTTCTATAAGCTGGTGGCTTTTGTATTCTAATTCAACCAAATTAAGGTAATCCTCAACAGATTCTAGGAAGTGGCAATTAGAAAATAAAACCAGCTGACCAGGGCCAATAGACTTGCCTGTACACGTGACCATTTGCCAATGGATGACTTCCATCCAACAATAGAGTTTATAACAACTGCATTTTCCTGTCAAGAGAAAATACATAACTTAATGCCATCTCTTAAATGAAGAAAAATGGGCAATGATGCTAAAAAATTGTGAATTCATTTGTTCGTACCATAATTTCAACATCATCCAAGATGATACAATTTATGAGCCTTACACCTGCTCCTACACGAACATTTGCTGAGATAGAGACATTCGGACCAATCTGTTCAAAAAGGCAACTCAGAAATCAGTTTTACTGCAGCAGCGGGGATGCTGAGAAAGCTAGAAAAATGTCCACAGGGCTTTAAATATGCTGGTTATTTTCGCATAATCATGTACACAAATCTGAACATAACTGAAGTAGCAGCAAGCAATGGATATTGCTAAATGCCAGGCCAAACAAAATAGATGGAATACCTTTGCAGTTGGATGTACTCTTGCTGATGGATGCACATATACATCACCAGTTATTGTAGCATTTCTAGTTCCATCTCCACTAGCCAAAAGATTGGGAGAGGTGATTCGGTACTGGGCTAGATAAATACCAGAAGACTTCAACAACATTCTGTAATAGTAATTACAAATTTAGTCAAGGCAAAAGATAGCTCAATATCAATGCATTGAGAGAAAAAGCTTATAAAGCAAAATATTGTACCCTGGTGTCTTTATCTGTTCCCAGAAATCCAAAGTCTCATATGTGTACAACTGTCTCTTTCCAGCCAGAGGTGACAGAATATCTTGGTCCAATCTAACAAAATCTATGGGAAAAGTCCTGTAGAGAAGAAATAGATATAGAAAATTTATATTAGGTATGCAGGATATCATTTCAAGGCAGACATAACATGATATATATTTTTAAGGGAGAACAAAATTATAAACACGATGTTTAACAAGTATAGCAAAATTACTCTTGACCATGTGCTTATCTGTTTCCCAAATACTTGCAAGTAGAATATTAAATGGTCACTTTTCAAAGAGTGGAATTGGAAAAGGAGGTCAACCTTGACATAGACTGTGAGGCTTCAATGCTTGACACACGGCTTACATTAGCTGCAAATGACTAGAGATCAGTCAGAGTTACCAATAGAGTAGAGATATTTCCCTTTACAAGGCAATCACAAGCAAAAAATCAAATCAGTGAAAGTTTATCAGACATGTACAATTCTTACTAGATATGTTAGACAATATGCAACTCATCAATGACAATTGAAAGCATTATGAGATATGTAACAAATTCTGCAGCTACTTCTTTGAACCACAAAAAACCAAACTTTTCCTAATGTTAGCCTGGGTAAATTATCCAAACTAGTTATGCTTTGCGAGGACAAATAAGTAAGACTAACCTCTGTCATCCCGATGTGTGGAGACATCCTGAATGGCAGTAAATATAGCCGGCGTAAAAATGTAAACTCCACAGTTTATCAAATCACTCACCTGCATTTCATCAAATGTGAACGCTATGAAAGCAAAATCTAGGAACAAGGAGTCTTCATATAAATCATTTTAACTATTAATGAAGATATAACTTCCAACGAAGTAAAAATGGGATGATCTACATACAAATGTCTCAGGTTTCTCTGTGTAGTGGAGCAACTCTTTCGTGCTTGGATCAGCGACCAACTCACCAAACAGGTTAGCTGATTCAGCAGAAACCTGTGGAGGCAACAAGGAAAATTTGCTAAAAGTTCCAGAACAGTGTAATATGAGGATCCAGATATAGAAACGTTCTAAATAAACCCATAGAAGTTAATCAAGGAAAAAAAAAATGAATAGAGAAAGAAGTAACCTTGATGACTAACATTGTTCCCATCGCCCCATATCTTTTGTGGGCCTCTGTGAAAAGGACAACAAATTAACATTTCATATCGATCAGATAAAATAAAGCATTCTATTATAAAGCCATAAACTGGTGTAAGAACTTACCAAGCATGTCTGGCAGTGGGAAACTGCAACAAACATCAAAATTTAGCAGGAGGATATGTGACTGCTCAACAACAATTAGAATTATATATCAGTAGAGAGATACAGAAAATAATCTTCGCATCAAATCATACATTTTTTGCAAACAGAAAATAAAAGAATGATTTTGAAAGAAACAATAATGAATTGTGTGAACATGAGCGAGAAGAACAATGGAATCCTAACCGGGTTGTCCTCCATGACAGTATTTCTGAAGTAATAAAGGGCACCAGCAGAACCGTGTGGTTTATCCTCTTTTAAGTATCTACATTCATAAGGAAAGTAAGATCCAGCATGGTTAAGCAATAGCAACAATAAAAAGGCAATAGAAATAAACGAGGTATTTACCTTACTGGTACTTTCAACTCATTAGATATTGAGGAGACATATAATGCAAACTCTCTCTCTTCATAAAACCCAATTAGGTAAATCCCAGCTAAATTGGGGATCTGCTCAACAGGAGATCAAACCTTCCAGAAATCAATTTGATGGGACTCAAAAAAAATATCCCAGAATCCCAGAATTAAAAAGAAATTTCTCATTCTCTTGAATTTCTCCAGATCAGTGAGCAAACAAAGAACCAAACGGGTTTAAAGAAGCAAACCTGTTTACAAGCAGAAATGGGATGGTGAATCATCGGCTGCCCTGCTAAAGGAAACAAGGGTTCCGGGGTATTGAATGAAAGAGGCCTAAATCGGGTCCCTGCAGAATCCAAAATTAAGAAGAATTATGAAAACACCACAGAAATTTCAGCATACTAACTGCATAAACAAGCAAATTGAATACCTTTGGTTGGTCCGCCAACCATGATAACAGCAGCCACCTTCTCCTCCGAGCTTCCCATCTCCAAAAATATAACTTTCCACAGAATTTATATAAAAAAAGGTTGAGAAAGAAAGAAAGTTTTTTGTAGAGAACAAAAAAAGAACGAAAACAGAGTTTGTTGAACGCAGCGAATTTCAGGGCAGTAGGTAACTCAGAGTCTGTTGTGGGTTTCGAATTGGTCTGTGAGAGGGTCCGAATTCAGGTGGGGGAATGATGGATCTGCTCTACAAGAAAAGTTGCAGACTTTCTTCTCCACTGTTTAATATAGCATATTCCAATTGTGTGCCATGAGAAAGAATTTGCTTATTCGATGGTATGACTTGAGCCCCGAGAAGTCTGCGCGCCACGGTGTGACGGGGATAGCCAATAACAACTCAACACCTCATCAACTTCCCCATCTCTTATCACTGAACCCGCCCACTCCACTAAACTCGAACTCAAAATCTTTTTCATTCACTCATCAACTCAACGTTAAAATTTCTTGACACTGAATTACCATTACACTATTATGTAAATCCCACTTACTGTAACTAGTTTAATACAACATCATAGCGCAGGTACGAGTGAAAAGGAATCCTTCATTCACTGGCAAAAATTGTTTGACCTCAAGCACTTAGCACTCTTCAAACATATTTTCTTGAGTGTATATACACAAGTAGGACTGATTTTCGAAAAGTATGACTGATTAATTTAATATCAATAACATGATTGTTTAAGTAGCAAAAATTTATTTTTTTTAATAAAATGTCAAAGTTTAAATCCTGTTAATAAAAAAAATAAGTATTGAGAGAATTTTTCACCTCATAAAATTTAAGATAACTTGATTTAAAATTTTAGAATATTGAGAGCTTAGTTAAAAAATAAAAGAAATTACACTTAACTTACATGTAATTTAGGATGAGTGCATTTAAAAGCTTATGATATCAAAACGTGCATTTAAAGACCCGTGTTTTAAAACAAGAGTAGCAACACACTTTTACTGTTAAAACTTAATGGAAAACTTCACCTTTTTATTTTAATTTCTCTAACACCTTTCCTATTTAACACCATTGTCTTGCTTAGCTTTAAAACTTAAATTGTAGTTGGTTTGACTCATTAGAACCACTTACAGTCTTATCATTTATAAGTAACTCATTACCATCCATATGTTAAAATACATATAAAAAATTATAGTAATTAATTCATTTATTTTAGCTAGCTACATTCAAACCACTTGTGTAATTCAATTGAAAAAAAAATTAATTTACACATGTATAAAATATTCATAATTAACATATACCGTTGAAATTAATTAAAAGTAAATATGCATAAAATTAAGAATATATTATTTATAATTATAGATGACCAAGGTAAAACTTTTCAATTTTCGAATGAAATCATCACTTTTTAAATCTAAATCAATTAACAAAATTTTCAACCAAATACAAAAAAGTCGATAAAAAAATTAGAAAAAAAATTTCACTTTGGAATATAAACTACAATAAATTAAAAGATTTTGTTTGATTACCTGCAAAGAATTATTTTGTTTGGTTTCATCTTCACTTGAGTCGATCTTTAAAGATTGTTATGAAAGAGAGTTTGTGTGACATTTGAGTTTTTTCTTTTTTTGTTATATATTTTAAGTTAATGGTATTTAAAATATTACACATAATTTTAACATCATTTGGATGAAAAAAGTAGTTTAGTACTCAAGATTTAAAACACAAGTCTTTAAATGTACATTTCAATACCACAAGCTTTTAAATACACTCACCTTAAACCACAAGTAGGCTATGTGTAATTTTCCCTAAAAAATAATAATAACTGATTAATTTAACACCTAGCGGAAACAATTCCATTCATTCATGTTTATCTTAGGAGTAACACAATAAAAAAATCGCCTTTCTCTAAGTTCTCCAAAAAAAAAAATCAGCTGCCACAGTCAACTCTGAGGAACATATACAAGCCCTTCAAAAAGGAGAAGGCATCTGAGTAGTTCAAAGTTCTTTCGGCAACAATCAGCTGCTTTTGATGATATGGTTTCAACTCTGAATACTGATGAATCAGTATCCATGTGGCATATGTAAATCATCAAACCTCACCTATAAATTAAAATTGAATTTAACGCAGCTTGATGCATTCCACCTGCAATGTCAAATCCTTGATTCCAGCATCCTGTAAAATGTGTGACACCTGAGCTTTAATAGAAGCCTTGTCAGCATCTTCAGATATATGTAAATGAAGTGTTCCAACAACATCTGTGTTGGTGAAGCTCCATATATGCAAGTTTTGAATTCCAGATACCCCCTTTATCTTCTTAACATCAATTATGGCCTTTCTCAAACCCTGCTCGTGAGCCCTTGGAACTCTTTGAAGCAGAATTTCAGCAGAGTTTCTGAGTAATGGGATAACCGAAGAAACAATTAAAGCAGAAATGAAAATTGAACATGCAGGATCTGCAATAAGCCACCCTTTGTACTTAATTAAGAGGGTTGATATGACAACCCCAACACTTCCCATAGTGTCTGCCAAGACATGCAAGAAGATTCCTTCCATATTGTGGTCAATGTGATGATGCTGGTGCTTCATGGGTTCCTTGACATCAGATGAAAGTTTGCTCTGTTGGGATCTGTCTGAGAAGTGAGTATGACCATGTGAACCTGTACATTGATGATTGTGAGACTTTTCCCCATTATGATCTTCAAGGAAGGCAGTGTGTGAGCTTCTTGAAAAATTGTGGTGCTGGCTTCCATGAATATGATGGTCAGAATGATCATTGTGATGATGATTATGGTCATGATTATCAGCGCAATCATGGGAATTATGACCATGAGTACAGCCAGGTGGATCATGATGGTGAGCATGGTTGTGGTGTTCATGGCACCCAGAATTTTTCCTTGTGTGATCTTCAGAGAAGCTGCCAGTGCAGCAATGCTGATTATCCTGATGGTGTTCATGGCATTCATGGGAAACAACAACAGCCTCATGATGCTTGCCAAGACTTCTGTGATCAAGGCCACCATTGTCTTGTGAATGCTG